AGGACTTGTGTCGCTAAAGTTTCGTGGGAACGAAGTTACGGAAAATCAGCTAACGACTGGAGGCATAACAATGTATTTATTTTCCACATGAAAACTCGAAGTTATGTTTACTTGCTTTTATGTGGTGGGCCCACACGTGGCCTAGTAATTAGTACATAGGACTGGGGTTCCAAGGGTCTCTAGTAGGGCTAGGGGACACAAATATAAATTTTGGCAAGGTAGGAGTCATCTTCAGCTAAGACAGTTTCATTTCTCCTACAGGGAGGTTGGCCTTTAGAATGGGTTGCCTTCGGATGTTGTGGAGACAGTAAATTTATGTGCATTTAAGAAAAAGCTTGTAGTACACTGGACTGGGGTTCCAATTTCCAAGGATATCGTGATCGAGAAATGGTAATAGCAATAAGCTTCGTACTTTCAGCTATGGGCGTGTTATAAATGGTATTCAAATCTGTAGTTGATTAAGAGTAGACCCTCAGGCAGTGGACGCCACCCACTGATTACCCTCCTCCTCATCTACAGCTAAAAATTAGAGATATCTAATGTCTGATTCATGGGGTCACTGACACGACCGTTAAGTCTGTTGTGTACATGAGATGTCGAATGAGGTGAACAAAATAAGATATAGTTTTGTGTCAAAAACATTGACATAAAATTTTTTATGGCTTATTAGCAGTGTTACTAGTATTAATTACAAGTGTTTACTCCTCACGTGATGCGCAACATGTCTGGTAATTAGGTAATGTAATTTGCTGATGAAAGGTTATCGGAATAGTCAGTTAACTACAGGTTAAAGGTAACTTTTGACAAAGTCTTAAATTTATCTAACCATTTTGAATAGGTTTGTTCATTGTTTTTTAGAACAAAGCCACATTGGGCTATCTGCTATATCTCCCGCGGGGAATCAACCCCCGGATTTTAGCGTTGTAAGTCCATAGTCTTATCGCTGTCCCATCGAGAGACTTTTGAATAGGACTTGCTTAGTTATTAAATAATCTGCCTGGCAGAGAAAAGTTAATTTTTAATATTCTTATATGTGAATTTCTCTTCTGAATAAATATATCACCTAAAATTCACCTTCAATGTGTATACTTGTATTACTTTGTTTATTTCTCATTACATCCAGGCAGCAGAACAGAATTCCTGGTATTGGCTCTTACACAGAACCAAAATCACTCTCATTGGTCATTAAACATGTGTTCTTGCAGTAAAGATAGCTGTAATATCACCTGTGATGTCACAAAATAGACAGCTGTCGTTTCTGTTAGCGAATCGGGTAATGGTTCGGAGTTTCTTCTCCCCTATATTAAAGCCAGAATAGTCTTGAATTACATGAGTGAGGTGCGAGCCGTGAACGGCCTGATTTTGTTTGTATAGTTTATTTTTGTATTTAAAGGCCAGCCCACTCCTGGCATTCACATTTTTGCAGACTGGGATACAGGGCTTTAAAATTTAGATTTTGAACTTAAGATATTTAATTGTACTTTAACTTAAAGGGTGTCTGTATTTTTTTAACTGTTAGTTTGGCTTTTTTTTAATTCAAGGGGGCTCACGCTGAATTGGTGAGAGAGAACTATTAAAGGCTTTCTCACATTCTCTCTTTCTCAACTTTTGTATACCCACAGTGAACACTTGCCTATGTTTTGTGAAAGTTTTTATTGTGTTTATAAATAAAGGTTGTGATTTGTCTATTTTTGTGCACAGTCTCTATTTGACGAACTCAGTCAGAGTCAAAGAGAATTTGGTCTGAATTTCGTGCAAAGCTACACGAGGGCTATCTACGCTAGCAGTCCCTAAATGAGCAGTGAAAAACTAGAGGGAAGGCAGCTAGTCATCACCACCCACGCCTACTCTTGGGCTATTCTTTTACCAACGAATAGGGGATTGACCGTCACATTATAACGTCCCCGCAGCTGAAAGGGCAAGGATGTTTAGTAAGATGTAGATTCACATTGCGAGTCAAGCGCCCTAACCACCTGGCCAAGCCGGGCCCTATGTGTTTTCTTATAGCATAGTCAAATTGGGCTATCTGCTGTGTCCACTGAGGGGAATTGAACCCCTGATTTTAGCGGGAGACGTCAGAGAGAAATAACCGCAGTAGCACATTTTTAGTACACTCTTGCACAGCGAAATAACCTAAAACAGGTAATTATTTTAAAATTCAAATGAAGATTCATTACTATATGTTGTTCACACAACTTCATCTTTACCTTGTCGAAGAATAATAAACTTTTTTTGAAATTTGTCAATCTGTGCTAATTTTAAATCACCTTCTCACATCTATTAACATCACGTTTGTTATTTTACAGCAAAGCCACATTGAGTTATCTGCTGTGTCCACTGTGAGGAATCAAACCCCAGATTTTAGCGTTACAAGTCTGACATACGGATGTCCCAGCGGGGGACTTAAAATCGCGTTTATGCAGTATTAAACCAATTTTGTGCAATTAATTTATTATTGCTGGGATATCACAGTAATTATTTGTGATAAATCCATTTTATTACTAATTAAAGTTGTTAAAAATATAGGCAGTTTCGATGTGTAATTTAATCTTGAATATTATATGCATGGCGTATTTAGTTGTCTTTTACTCACCTATTTATATAAGTTCTGAAGAATATGTAGCATTTATGTTACTGACTTACCCTTCTGAATTATTCAACAAACAAGTTTTTAAGTTACTAAGAAATAAATATTAAGTCCAATCTATCATTCGATTCACCACTTGTTACTGAGTTATACTGGTTTCTCAGAAAACTATTCTTACTGGTAACCCTGTTTAGTATCTTAAACAACTTATCTAATCAATAATTCAGAAGAATACTGTTGCGTCAGCGAGGTCACGTGACTAGTATCACGCCACCCCCTTTCTAGAAATATCCCGTTCCTTCAAGAATGCCCTAGCATTTACTAGATATGTGTTAGTCTTGTATATATAAGACGTTGACAACGTGACGGAACAACAGTGTAGTAGTGAGTAATTGAACTCGAGCACGTGAGACGTTCGTTGAGAATTATAGTATGACTGTTGAAATTAAGTGTATCGTAAAGTTGTATTCGGAAAGAATAAACCAGTTTTATTTAAGAAAGGACTTGTGTCGCTAAAGTTTCGTCGGAACGAAGTTACGGAAAATCAATTAACGAACAGAGACGTAACAATACATTAGTAGAACAAATGTTACATATTCTTTGAAAGTTATATAAATGTAGGTTTACTATGGTGAATAAAATAGAACTAAAAGCATCATACATTTTATGTACAACCTACCACTATAAGACGTCTGTCTTGTTTTTCGATTTTTCTCTTCTCCAGGGTTAGTGTTTAGGATGACACAATTTTGAATATTTCTTGTTGTTTTTACTAATATGAAAATTATTTTGTATCATTAGCTTAGTACATGAATTTAGAAAATAATAAATATTACAAGATATTATTAGGAAACAGTAAGTAATATATTTAATAGCGAAGATACCTAGTTGATAATGCATTTTAATCATCATAGATTTTAGCTGTCTTGCATATACTTCTTGTCAGCCCCCAGTGGCACAGCGGTATGTCTGCGGACTTACAACGCTAAAAACCGGGTTTCTATACCCGTGGTGGGCAGAATACAGATAGCCCATTGTGTAGCTTTGTGCCTAATTCCAAACAAAATTGTATTGTACTTCTTGTCAGTTGACTCTATACATTTGGCTTTATTAATTTAAAAACTACTTATGATTTATACAGTTAGCTTAATTAATTTTATTCAGAGATTATTAACAAGTTTTTGAGAAAAGCGATACAAGCGGCCTCTATTTCCACTGTTCATTCTTTTACACTGTCACGTTGATCGGGTAAGGTTGATGTGATTAGTAACAGTAGGTTATTAATTTATTTTCAAAATAGATGTATTCAGTGACAGAAAATCAAACCATAGTTGTAAACTTTAAAAGTACCTTTCTAAATTTGATTTCAACTTATTATAACGAAAGAGTTTGTGCATAATGTTTATCGTTAATATTTTAGAATCAGATTATAAATAAAGCAAGAACGTCAACTTTTCTAAGTAATCATACTACTACTACTAGTATGAGAATCAAATAATTTGTGATGCATAGCTTCATATACGAAGTCTACTTAAGTTATCTACAGAATTTAGTAATGTATTGCCTATACTATAGTCTAAATAGTATTTCTCTTCATATAAATTGTTAGTAACGAAGTTAGGCCTAATAATAATATTGACCAAATTAGTAAACCAACATTTAAAACCATGATTTGCTTTTATTCTATTTTATTTTTAAGTAATGAATTAACTGGATCGATATATTACTCGCAGAGCCAAGAACTAGCATTGTGGGCTTGCAGTAGCACTAGTACTAGTAATAGGCTAGAAGCAGTGAACAAAACTCGGGCTGAAACTAATTTGTTTTTAAGTTATAACTTGTACTGTTAGTGTTATACTTATAAACTTGTACTTTATAGGTTTTATTTATTTGTTTTCAATTATCAGGTAAATGACAAAAAAAACAAAAAACATTTAGACCATGAATTTTGGTTTAATCCAAACTCCGAATTTTGTTAGCAAAATTAAATTTAAAACTGTAAAGAACATAGATTAAACTTTAAATATGAATGTGCCATATGGCTACAATCCAATATAAAATTTAAAGTCATACCCAATTTCTTTTAAGCTTAATCTAGGTTGACACTGTCTTAGTGGTATGAAGGTACTTGATATTTTTAAAGCTGTATTCAACCATGTATCTAGACAGTGATGCATATATTTTTTGTATAAAAATATATAAATTCTAAATTTTCTTAGTCATAATTTATTTTCAACCACATTGTGCTACTATATTAATTAAAAAACCGACAGAAAAAGTGATATTTTTTTAGCACAATGAAAGGTAAAATCTTTATTATTAGTTACAGCTGACTAGTTCTGGTAGCACAATAACTGTCATTAAAGCTAGTCCTCATGATGGTAACTGTTTCCTAAACTTGCAGATGTGTCATCATACTAAATTGTAGACCATCTGACTTACTCACATAACTTGTATTAATTGGTTTGAATGCTGTAATGACATAGAATGGGGAAACTTTGATTCATTGATGCTGCATCTATAAAAAAGCCACTGTTTGAAATGCTATCTTTGTTGGTAACGGTCATATTGGTTCAGTGGTTTGTCCGAAGCAGAAGTCTTGCAATAAAATCCCAGTTAAGTGAGAATTTTTTATAACTTTTTTAATTATTAACTCGCCATGTTTAGCGCAATATCATACAATATTAGGAAAACCAGAATAACATTATAGTTTACATTACAGATTTTAATTATTTGTTAACATTCAATTACAAAGACTGTGTGTCACAGTGGCTATAGTGCTCAACTATCATGGAAGTCTTGTGTACAATCACAGCCAGGTCTGGATTTTGTTGATTTAAAAAAAATAATTATTATCATATTTATAGAAAATGAATATTCAGAAAAATGCACATACTATTATAGATTAAATCAGGGATCATATAATGTTACATATAAATATTAGTGAGATGGTGGTACAATACATTATTACTGATGTTTTTCAACTTAGAGTTTTGAAAATTTATTCAAGCATTTGATAAGTAATTTTTGTTTTAAATTATACATTTGTGCATTTTCCCATCACCCTCAAATTCTTTGCCATCACAGTTAATAAATTACAGGGTCAGGCATTTCACCATTTAGGACTTTCTTTGACTACCAGTTGTTTTTGCACGGTTCAGTCTGTAACACTATGAAGAAGCAGATTTGAACAAAGCATGAAAAATATAAATAAGTTAAAATTCTAATCAATGACTACTTACAGGAGGTGACCAAATATACACAAAAGTATTTTTTTTGTGAAAGACTAGAGGAATAACAAACATTCTTTATACACATATTGTCGACTTTAATATAATTAATTTTTAGAAAACATGTTCATAAAACATTTTAGCTTTAGTTTTCAAAAAGAAAATGAATAGGCTTTTATTGGCATTCAGCTAGTAGGGTTATATAGTTGGTGAAACTTAAAAATCTAGTGTGAGCCCAGCTTTAATTTTTTATATATTACCAAGGTCTCATATCTTGATAAATGCATTGCATGAGTATTCAGGAAACATTGCTGTTATGTGAATATGTGAAAAAAGTTATCCAAGTAAAATACAATTGTTAGACATAACTAACTATTTAAATGAACACATTCTCAAGCTTTTTAATTCCTTAATTTTTTTTAGTATATATAAATTAGATTTTAAAAGTTATTTTGAAAATATAAAAGCTATACTTGGATATAGCCTCATTTGGTTGTATTTCTTGTAAATGGTTTAGATCTCAATGTTTCTGATTTGAAATTTTGCATATTATTCATAGTATAATGTTTATTATTTTTGTTTTTAAAATAAGCTTGCCATTTTCCATTCTTTATTGGGCATCTAACTTAAATAAAAGACTGTGTGTGTCACATCATTTCACACTTGATTTTTTTAAATAGGAGGAGTCACAAAACCCAAAATGCATTTATCCAAATGGAATAGTTCAGTTACTGTCTGTCCATTACAATTTTAGTGACAGGGGTACAAGGGGTCTGTGAAACCTTATAAGTATAGTGAGTGTTGATATAATAAGCCTAAAGTAAAGACATAGTGTGGTATCACCTAGCCTAGAGTCAAGTGCATAAAATTTGTCATGAAAGTAAAAATATTGATTCAGTTTTAAACTTAAATTGTTTCTGAATTAAACTACTTTCTGTTATGTCACCAACAATTTTTAATAAAAAACCTCTAATCAACAAAGACTAAATTAAGAAACCAACAAATATTTTTCCAGTTTTGTTGTCTATACATTTCATTTTATACTTTCAGTGCATAGACTAACAACAATATTAGGTTGTACTTTTGTTGCTAAGCAACATGACATAAAAGCCATTGTTGGAGTTTAGTGTTACCCAAAGCACTGGCTTTACTATATATTAGAAGTTGTTAATCTAACTGATTTTTACCAATAATTATTCTATGAATATGCCACAAATTCATTTGATGAAAGATTTTAATTGGCTCACAAAGGAATTTACTAACGTTTGACTGCCTCGACTGTATATTTCTGCCTCTTTGTTGATCAAGCTTGATTTTGCAAAATTTCTTTATTTCGGTTAGCTATGAAATGTGAGGTTAGGGTATACTAT